GCCAAGGCTTGGGAACCCCAGAGTTTGTGCTGTGATGCTGCTGAAGTCTAATCAGGTAACACTGCATAGCTTGCCATTGAGAACACTGCCTGGCAAGCTTTCCCACCGCTTGCTAGCTAGGATCACCCTTACCAGGGCTTTGGCTTGCAGGGTTAATGAGAGCTGAGTAGGCAGACTCCCTGTCCCACTTACTAGTCTGCCGTTCCTAGTCCTGCTGATGAGCCAGGCTGTCATCAGTACTGCCCTGGAATACTGTGAACCCACCGGATCAGCAACTGGACTACCAAGACCATCACAAAAGGGTGCGCTCGATTCTGACATTCCGTTGCCAAACATGGCACATGGAGCCATCTCAGCTCCAAAGAGATCCTGCTCATCTTCCTCCCAAAAGAGGAGAGTCACTAGCTGGTCATTTGACATCCAATAAGCATGGGTTTGAACCCTCACTGGGTGGGTATCAGGTACTAGGAACTCCCTGTGAGCTTCCTGATGGGCAACACAACTCAAATTGAAATACGTGAGAACATTGCCACCATCTTCCCTCTCATAGCTCAGACACACATCCTTTCGCATTGAGATGGTTCCACTAGTTGGAGGTGCTTATGCAACAGCTGCTTACCTCTCTGCAATTCTACGCGCTGTATATGTATGAACGCGTGTTCACGAATTTCGATGTCAGATAATGCCTTCCAGCAGCTGTCACCCCAAATTTCAGAGTTGCAAGATAGATTGTGACGTGTAGAGATGATTTGCGTGCTAAAAATACAATTCATTTACAGACACAAGATTGCATGCTTAGTTGTACAGTATTCCTCGGTATAACATGGGAGATAACATGGCCAGATAGCCCAGCTTGTTGGTAGGTTTTGGAGGGGCAGATTTCCACTCTGCTTCTGTTAACCGTGAAAGCTAAAGCCCAAACAGGTAGGTGGACCTCGCTGGGCAAGCAGCGGGAAACTTGACAGACAGCGCTCCCAACGATCAAACTCCAGAAGTAATAATAATAATCCTTTACATTTGATATAGCGCTTTTCACGTCGGGAGGATGTCCCAAAGCGCTTCACAGAACACACTGTAAAGTGAATTGACTATATTTGTGGGCGAACGCGGCAGCCAATTGCGCACAGCAATGTCCCATAAACAGTCATAGATTGAAAATGACCAATTTATTATTGTTTTTGGTTTTGGAGGGATTATTATTAGGCTCTGTGTGGAGTAAGGAAACTTGCCCAAGGTTTCGCACTGCCTGGAATTGAACTCAGGTCTCTCACTTGCAAAGCGAGTGCTCCAACCCCTGAGCTACAGGACTCCATAAGCCCAATGCATATTCTGGAGTCCCAAGCCTAAGCTCTTGCCAAGTTACAACTAAAATAACTGGGTAAGAAGGGTGCGTTCATCTGGAGAGAGAGTGCGGGTCCCAAATGAGACCAGGTGACATTTGCAATGTGGAGAACATGAACATGTAGCCCACACATATGTGCAGCTCAGTCTGGTTTGGTTCTCCTCAAGCATGGACTCTGTGCCCAAATCAGATTGATAAACTGACCAAAGTGGCACTGAAAGCATAACAGCCCTCACTCAGCCACTGGCTCCAAACCAGTCTGTGTGGAATGACATCATCCTCTTCAACAAGGATGGGCGACAATGCGCGCGGTGTTGCCGGCGGTGCGCGTGGCACTCTGGGAGTTGTAGTTCCAGGTCGCACTTCGCCCGGTCTTTACGCACTCACCCAATGTCACGCCGGAGACTCCAACTCCCAGCATACACCCCCCACCCGCGCATGCCCACCGCGTACCTGCGGCTTCCTTCGGCAATCCAGGTTACCTCATCGTGAGCTCCACACACACACACACACACACGGTAATCACTCCCGCACACCCCCCCCACACCCCCCCTCACTACCCCCACACCCCCCCACACTACCCCCCCACACCCCCCCTCACTACCCCCCTCACTCCCCCCACACCACCCCCCTCACTACCCCCCCACACCACCCCCTCACTACCCCCCTCACACCCCCCCCCACCCCCCCTCACTACCCCCTCACTCCCCCCCCACACCCCCCCTCACTCCCCCCCTCACTACCCCCACCCCCCCTCACTACCCCCCTCACTACCCCCCCACACCCCCCCTCACTACCCCCCCACACCCACCCCCTCACTACCCCCTCACACCCCCCCCACCGCCCCTCACTACCCCTCACTCCCCCCCACACACCCCCTCACTCCCCCCCCTCACTACCCCCCACACCACCCCCCTCACTACCCCCACACCACCCCCTCACTCCCCCCCACACCACCCCCTCACTCCCCCCCCACACCACCCCTCACTCCCCCCCACACCACCCCCTCACTCCCCCCCACACCACCCCTCACTCCCCCCCACACCACCCCCCTCACTACCCCCCACACCACCCCCCCACCCCCCTCACTCCCCCCCCCACCACCCCCTCACTCCCCCCCACCACCCCCTCACTACCCCCCCCACCACCCCTCACTACCCCCACCCCCCCCCCACCGCCCCTCACTACCCCTCACTCCCCCCACACCACCCCTCACTCCCGCCCCACACCACCCCCTCACTCCCCCCCCTCACTACCCCCTCACTACCCCCCACACCACCCCCTCACTCCCCCCCCACACCACCCCCTCACTCCCCCCCACACCACCCCTCACTCCCCCCCCACACCACCCCCTCACTCCCCCCCCCCACACCACCCCCTCACTCCCCCCCACACCACCCCCTCACTACCCCCCACACCACCCCCTCACTACACCCCCCACACCCCCCCTCACTCCCCCCCACACCACTCCCTCACTACCCCCCACCCCCCCCTCACTACCCCCCACACCACCCCCTCACTACCCCCCCACACACCCCCTCACTACCCCCCCACACACCCCCTCACACCCCCCCACACCACCCCCTCACTACCCCCCACCCACCCCACCACCCCCCTCACTACCCCCTCACACCACCCCCACCACCCCCTCACTACCCCTCACTACCCCCACACCCCCCCTCACACCACCCCCTCACTACACCCCCTCACTACCCCCCCCCACACCACCCCTCACTACACCCCCACACCCCCCCTCACTCCCCCCCCACACCACTCCCTCACTACCCCCCCACCCCCCCTCACTACCCCCCCACACCACCCCTCACTACCCCCACACCACCCCCTCACTACCCCCACACCACCCCCTCACACCACCCCCTCACTACCCCCCCTCACTACACCCCCACACCACCCCCTCACTACCCCCCACACCACCCCCTCACTACCCCCTCACTACCCCCCACACCACCCCCTCACACCACCCCTCACTACACCCCTCACTACCCCCCCCACACCACCCCCTCACTACACCCCCACACCACCCCTCACTACCCCCCACACCACCCCCCACTCCCCCCAACACAACCCTCACTCCCCTCCCACACACACCGCCCCCCCTCACTCCCCCCCAACACCACCCCCTCACTCCCCCCCCACACACCCCCCACACCACCCCTCACTACCCCCCCACACCACCCCCTCACTCCCCCCCAACACAACCCTCACTCCCCTCCCACACACACCGCCCCCCTCACTCCCCCCCCCCAACACCACCCCCTCACTCCCCCCCCCAACACCACCCCCCACATCACCCACCTCACTCCCCCCCCCCCCCCTCCCCCAGACATTGTGGACAAGTACAGTAATAACACTGACACCGACATCCAACGAAGATCAGAACAATCAACACATAAGAATTAATTTGCTCTGAATGTGGAAAAATAGCCATCGATTCAGTGTACTTCCGAGACTTCAAATAAAACAGTGGCAGAATATTAATGACCCTTCAAGTCCTGACAATTGTCTGGTCTGAGGAGAGGGATATTATTATTATTATTATTATTATTATTATTATTGTACTAACCGCACCATCCCTAACCCCGACTGCTGAAAACCCACCTCAACCGACAGCTCAACATGGCAACATCTGGTTAGGAAGAGGAAGAGGAAAGAGGAGGAGGAGGATGATGATGATGTCCAATAAATCTACTGAGACAATGTGGGTCTCGAGGGGGTTAGACTTCAAAAGACCAGACACCCCCCTCCCCCCACTCCTCTCGTCTACTGTTTAGTCCGACAGTAACATAGTCTTAAGGAATATCTGATCAAATGCAACCAAAAATAAAGGAACATTGTGGTGCATTGGTCTGTGAGCAGAAACAATCCTCACCCCTGAACCCGCCCCAGTCAGGGGGTTTGAAAGTGGAAGTCCTCCCCCCCCACCGCGTGGTTTTTATTCCTGCAAACCCCTGCACACGATGCCGCGCCTCCCCAGGTAAATGGCAGCAAAAAGAAAAAAAAATACCCCCGAAAAAGCCGAGCCTCCCGTCAGCTCGGTCTTGTCCAGAGCAAACTCCAACCTCAGAGGGAGGCGAACACCCGACAGACAGCCCCAGGAGAGAAATAATACACAGCAAACACAACAGGGGGCAGAGATCGGGAACACCACTGCAACTGGGCATCTCCCACCCAGTCAGGTAGTGCAGACTGGCAGGAGGGCAGACTGGCAGTAGGGCAGGCAGGCAGAGGCTGGCAGACTGGCAGTAGTGCAGACTGGCAGTAGGGCAGACTGGCAGTAGGGCAGACTGGCAGTAGGGCAGGAAGGCAGAGGGGCAGAGGCTGGCAGACTGGCAGAGGCTGGCAGAGGGGCAGAGGCTGGCAGAGGCTGGCAGAGGGGCAGAGGCTGGCAGACTGGCAGAGGCTGGCAGAGGGGCAGAGGCTGGCAGACTGGCAGAGGCTGGCAGAGGGGCAGAGGCTGGCAGACTGGCAGAGGCTGCCAGGGGCTGGCAGAGGGGCAGAGGCTGGCAGACTGGCAGAGGCTGGCAGAGGGGCAGAGGCTGGCAGACTGGCAGAGGCTGGCAGAGGGGCAGAGGCTGGCAGAGGCTGGCAGACTGGCAGAGGCTGGCAGGCTTTTGGAGGCAAAGCAGCGAGTACCTACCCAAACCGCTCATCTCCTGCTTGAGACTGGATCTGGTCCTCTCCTCCTCTATGGCCAACAGCATCCTGTGCAGCGATCCGTCCTCGCCGTCCTCTCCTTCGTCTCCTGCTCTGTTCTGTTGAATGGATGCCATCCCTGACCCTCTAACGCTCTTCTCATTGCAGGTATTTCTTCCTCCCACCTTCTCCCTTTAATTCCCTTCCAGTTGCCCCCCCTCCCTCCCCCCGCCCTGAAGCCAGGTCTCCCGCCGTCCCCCTCCTGCCTTGGCTCCTGAGGTCGCCGTTTGGATGGATGTGACCTCCCTGCCCTTTAACAGCCCAAGTCACGGACCCGACATGGCTCTTGGTTTTGTTTTGGTGGCGGTGGCGGCGGTGGCGGTGAGGGGGCGGGAGTTGCAAATATTAAACTGAACGCCTGAGAAAGACAAGAGACGAGACAAACCGTCCTGGACAACCAGCCCCTACTTCCGTCTCTCTCAGAGATCAGCTGAGATAAAGAAATGAGGCAACAGCAAAGCCCACTTCCTGCTCCGGCAGCCAATTGAAATAAGTAAGAACCACCGACTGTGTGTGTGTGTGTGTGTGTGTCAGTCAGTCCAGGCTGACCCCCCCCCCCCCCCCCCCCCCCCCCCCCCCCCCCCCCCCAAAAAAAATATATATAATTCCTGGAAATGCACATTCTCATTTTAGATTGCATTCAGATCCTTCTCAACCCCCCCCCCCCCCCCACCCCCCCACCCACCCACCACTCACTCACTCACTCACTCCCCACCCACTCCCCACTGTGTCTGTGTTCCTTCTGTGTGGTTGATTTTTTTTTATTGGATCCAAGTTTGGTTATGGGAAACTTTTTGCCCCCTGTGCTGTGCTTTGTGCTTGTGCTGTGCTGTGCTCTACACACCCTGACCACCCCCCCCCCCCCCCCCCCCCCCCCCCCACCACCACCCCCCCCCCCACCCCACCACCACCCCCACCATCACACAGTGGCAAACGAATGAGCCACTGAAGGAGAAAGGAAGCATTAGGTGCAGATGATGTGTCTTTTCCTTTAAAAAATCTGTGTGCAGCCGGAAAAAAAAACACGTCCCTTTTACGTTGAGATCTATAATTGCCAGTTTTTAGCAGATTGTTCCTTTTGTGCACGAAGCCTTCCCGAGGAATTCAGGTCCCAATCACATTATTTTTTTGAAAAGGGAATTTAATAAAACGTGTGTGTCATTTGGGGTCATGTGCAGGTATATTGGGTTTCTGCATTGATCTATTTACCTTTGCATTATTTATTAACCTCGAATCGAAGCATTGCTGTGATTTGAAATAAAAACGCAGTGTGGCCGAGACCTTCAGTTTATAATGCATCGGTGGGGAGGTGGGAAAAAAAGCTAATGAGGTTGATAAATTCTAAAACGATGGATTCCTCCCTCCATTTCTCACGCCAGGCATTGCTGTACCAATCTACACCTGTATGCTGCACCCCATCTTCACAAGATTGAGAAATATGTTTTATAAATGTGCAAACTTTTATTTCAAAAATCCGACTAATTTGAAAATGCAGTATTAAATCATTGCAAACGCAACCCACCCCCCACCCCCCCAAAAAAAAAAGCCTGATAATGATCTGGAGAAATGAACTCGATTGCTTGATTTTTTTTCTGCATTGCAATCAGTAATCTTGCGAGTTTTTTTTATTATTATATCCTCTTTTGATTTTTTTTATTATATTAATCATTTTTTTATAATTTTTATAATTTTTAACACTTTTTTTTAAAAAAAAAATGCTGTCTTAATAGTCTGCTATGAAGTGAAGATAATTTTTGGGGGGAAAGTTAGCACGAGATATGCCTCAGCCCAGTTTCGATCTCTCCTGGTTGCTTTAGGATGACTCTGAGCATTACGTAATGCCCCCGACAGGCAGCAGGAGTGGGCAATGACACCCAGAGAGTCTGGAGACAGACAAGACAGCATGTGTTTTGTGCAGAATGAACCAGACACACACACACACACACACAGAGCAATCCGGTGCTGCACTTTGCTGTGTCACTCCAGTCTGCAAAGACCCAATATAAGGCATTTGACTCTTACACATCATGGCCCAGACAATAAGAGTAAAGGGATTTTTTTTAAAAAAATATGCAATGAAACACAGGCAGGAAATCCAAAGCTGGTCCATCAGCATCTGAATTTTTTTTTAAAAAAAACCTTCCCAAAGCAGAACCTTTCGCCTCACAACAACAGCAACAACAACAACAAGATTCGATTTATAGAGCGCCTTTCACGTCGGGAGGACGTCCCAAGGCGCTGAAATCGTCACACTATTTCGGGTGTGGATAAATTTAATCTTGCAGTGTTTCTTTTCATTCTGTTGAGTGTGCGTTTCCACTTTTTAACAGTACACTTCTTGTTTTCAGGAACCTATTGCGACAAATTGAACAGTGTAGATGTCAGCATTTTAATTATGGCTGTTATGAAAACAAAAATGACAAATAATACATTTCAAATTCTCATGGGAAAGTCCACAGAACTTTCCTGTCCACCAAATGTAATGGGAGTTGGTACTAAGAAAGGACCCACTCCAAATCAAAGTTTAAAAAAAAATCCTTGCATTTGATATAACCCCTTATCACGTATTGAGATGTCTCAAAGTACTTCACACCCTAACCCTAACTGTAAAGTGGCTTGACTATATTTTGTGGGCAAAATGTGGCAGCCAATTGTCACAGCAGTGTCCCACAAACAGGAGTGGATTGAGTGACCAATTTCTTTTGCAGGAATTATTATCCACGGAAATATTATCCACGGAAAAAAAGGATTTGTTTTTCGTCACACCCGAAATAGTGTTTCTATTTGTGTCACAGTAAATGAATGGTTTGTTTTATATGGTACACTACGAACTTGCAGGAGATGCAGCAATGGCACCAGCAATGCACATGCCCACCATTTAGTACAATATTTATTTAATGTGAATTTTGTTAATATCAGGTTGAGGGCTTTTTGGACTGTGGAGTCCTGCACAGAAGTCCAGTGGTTGGAGCACTCGTCTCGCAAGCGAAAGACCTGGGTTCAATTCCCGGCAGGGTGAAACATTGGGCAGGTTTCCTAACTCTACATGCCTCTGTTTACCTAGTAGTAAGTAGGAACCTGGTTGTTAGTCGATTGGATCACATTTCCGTGGATAATAATTCCTGCAAAAAAAATTGGTCACTCAATCCACTCCTGTTTGTGGGACACTGCTGTGACAATTGGCTGCCACATTTTGCCCACAAAATATAGTCAAGCCACTTTACAGTTAGGGTTAGGGTGTGAAGTACTTTGAGACATCTCAATACGTGATAAGGGGTTATATCAAATGCAAGGATTTTTTTTTAAACTTTGACTTGGGGTGGGTCCTTTCTTAGTACCAACTCCCATTACATTTGGTGGACAGGAAAGTTCTGTGGACTTTCCCATGAGAATTTGAAATGTATTATTTGTAATTTTTGTTTTCATAACAGCCATAATTAAAATGCTGACATCTACACTGTTCAATTTGTCGCAATAGGTTCCTGAAAACAAGAAGTGTACTGTTAAAGTGGAAACGCACACTCAATAGAATGAAAAGAAACACTGCAAGATTAAATTTATCCACATGAGGAGAAAGGACAGCAATGGAAACTGGGTAATTCTGGTTCAGGGCAACAGATACCAACCGAGAGGAGCTGAGGGCAATATAGGAGAGGGGAGTGGACGGCAACATATACTAGTCAAGGGAAGCAGACGGCAACAGATGCCAGGAGAGGGGAGTGGAATCACCGAGTGGTCCGAACGGCAGGTAGTCAAAACAGTTCGAAAGGAGAGAGCAGATCCAATCGGGAGGTACCCTGAGACGACAGCCAGCTACATCTGACAGAACACCTCGACACCGGCCCTGTCCAACAGTCATCAGGATATGGCCTGGCTGGTCGATGAAAGGGGCTCTCCCCCTCATGCATGGTCGAGGTCTGAGTACGCTGCCCGCGGGCTGGCTGCAGAGGCGAGGAGACCGTGGACCACTTCTTCCGGGAGTGTTGTTTCGCAAAGGCAGTTTGAAAAAAGATGGAATGGCTGCTCTAGCGGTTCGTCCCTGGGGATCCGCTGTCACAGTACTCGGTTCTGTACGGCCTCTTTCCGGGCACTCACAGCGAAACCCACATCGAGTGTGCCTGAAGGATCATAAGCTCAGCAATGGAGGCCCTTCAGCACTCCCAAAACCAGGTGTTCTTCTGTAAGAATGAGGGTACGGAGAGGGCCTGCCTCAGGCTCATGAACGCTAGGATCAGGGGCTATATTACCAAAGGACAAGCTGAAGCTCGGCTCAACCACGGCAAAGGCCAGATGGGACCTGACCCCGGCAGGAGATGCTCCTGCGCAAACCGCTCATGGTGCGCACACCGGGTAGCCCACGAGTGCATCCAAAACTATGACTAAAATAAACGTGAAGGTAACTATATAAATGTACAGATGGACACCCGAAATGTAAACAAAGAGTGTCTCGAAAATGTAAGTTCGGTAAACATGTGCACGTATGGTGCACAACGGGGCACCTTCCAAAAGCGGCAAGTGCGCCTTATCAGGATGTGCGCGGGCGCACACGTGAATGTTGCGCGCACAGGGGGCGAATCCTGACTGCTTCAAAGGGAGCGCCCCAATGAACGTGTGCACAGCCTGTGTGCGGTGAAGGAACGTAACGTAAACAGAATGTTTTTGTATCGGGAGAAAGGGAAAAACGTAACAGAAGATGTACGTTGTGTTTGTTTTGGATTTCTATTGTACCGAATATATTTATAAATAAATATATATTTTTAGAAAAATAGGGGGAAGTGGAGAAACTATTTAAACAGGGGATGAGCTTGCTCAGTTGAGGTTTAGGACCTACCTCCAATCATTGTTTAAGAATCACATTCTTGTGCAGTTGCTGTGTTGTTCTCTTCTAGGAGAACAGGCAACATTTTGTCAAGTGTCTCTCTTTCTCCTCAAGGTGTACTCCTCAATGGAGTACAGTCTTATAAGTGCTGGAAGAATTCAGTGGGAATGAAGGGAGCAAAGGAAGTTGATGTTCTGAAAGGCCTCAAAGTGAGTAATGTACAGTTGGTTTCAATGCCTTCTTGAGTGCATGTACATACATATGGTTACAGTGCTATCTGTTATACCGTAACTGGATCATATTGACAATTTAGTGCTCAATGGTATTGCATTTTTCTACTTTACAATGATGGGCAGCAGGTTGAGTGGGGGAGATGGGGTGGGGGGGGAATGGGGGAGAAAGAGGTGATTATAGGCACAGTTGAAAGGGTGAGGTGGGGGGTTTGGGTGAGGGAGCTCAGAGGTTAGGAGTGCAGAATTGGAAAGCTTGGCCACCGATAGTTGTGTGGGTAGGGCAGCAGACATGCAGCGAGACAAGTTAGTCAATCAGAGGGGATGAGCAGAGTGTGGTAGGGGGAGATCAGAAAGAGAGGAAGGTGCTGGGGTGTG